CGGCGAACGTCGCGTGTTTGTCCAAGTCATTAAGCGGGATAAGTTTGTCCCGTGTACACCGACGAATAAACATTTGCCGCGATGACTCGACGACACCGGGGCCCGGGATCCGAGAAAACCCGCCACTTTCGACTCGGTTATTCCGAGAAGTCGTTCCAGTCCGCCACGATAAACCGGTAGCCATCGTCCTCCGTGTTTAAAGAAATCGCCCCCGCTACGGAGAATCCGCCTCCTGCTCGTAAACAGTTTCGAGATATTATTCGAGCTGGTCCGAAAACATTCGACTGAAATTCTGTCGATTTTTGCATTCTACGATAAAAGCTTCAATTTTTTTTTTTTTTAACGATGGACACTTTTAATTTGAAGAGTTTCTTTTTTCACCCTCTGCAGGGTCTTCGACGAGCCGAGTGAAATTTCACTCTTGTATTTCTTGCAATCGAATCTTTATTTTGGCTGAAAAAAGTGTTTATGTAGTAGAGATTTTGGTAGGTATTGCAGAATTTTTGGAGGTCTTTCGAAATCTTGGAAGAGTAAAATAAAATTAGATTTGGACGTAGAAGACAGTTTGCCTTCGGAGTGTGAAATAATATATCGGCTACGCGAAAAGGAGGAATTATTGTAATTATGCAAAATCGAATATATTGATAGACAACGCAGAAATTCACCTGTCGTTCGCTCCGCAACGTTTGTGCATGGACGTAAAGGACAGGAACCGCGGGATCGGCTCGTTAACGCCAGTGAAACCGAGGCTTTTACACGAGTCTCGTTAATCATCCACCTTATGTCTGGGCGAGTGTCGCTTATTTCCGTGGTACAACCGCCTCTTGTGAGCTTCCTACGAGTCGTGACGAAAATAGGGACGCGAGAGCGGCTGAGCCGCTAGAAATAAGCGGGTTCGATGGATATCCCGCGTGTTCCGCGTATTTTCCTTGGCCGATGCTCGAAGATTGTTTTCGTTGCTGAGTTGTCGGCTGGATGTTGCCGCGGAAATGTTGGTCGATGTGGAAAGATGTTTTATCG